CTGATCACACTAAATTTTGTATAGGTACTAATAAAAAGCCTATCTGGAATTTCAATTGTTTTTTTGAACTTAGAGAATTTACTCTGCTTATTCCTATCACATATTTTTTGTTTACGTTCATGCAAAAAATATTTCATTTCCGCACGCCAAAAATTTGTTTTCTATCATGGCTGTGTTTGCCTAAAACTATAAAGACTGCAAAAAATCTGTTTAATCTGTATGAAAAAAACATTGACAGAATATTACAAGAAGAGATTATTTCAAATACTGTTAACTTCAGTGATGATTGTGGGCCTTCCAGAATTTGCATGACTTATTGATACAAGATCAAATAGCCAAGTGATAAAAATTTTCCAGACCTGTTCAATTTCGGCTTCATTGTTGTAAAAACCATCATAAGGCAAACAGCACAGTGTGATTGTTTGATATGCAAAATTGCAAAAACCAAAAGAGAAACACCCTCTACAATTCAATAAAGGTCAAGCTGGTCCAGAAACTCTTGCAACTGAAAAAAGGTGCAAAACTTGCTTATCTGTGCTTGCTTGTGGACATCCTCATAACTGTACACAAGGATAAAGTATGAAAACCTCAGAGGACTTGCATTGACATACCCAATAGGTGCAGAGCAAATTACATCCACTGTGATTTCAGGCAAAAATGCATCACCAAGAGTAACAGTTCAGATCAGTCAACCACAAGAAATGCCATTGGCTTTAAGAAAAGGGAAATAATCAATAATATTTTTCATAATTATTATTTTAATCTGATTAGCATTACAAACTGCAAATAATATAATTTTAATTTATAATGTAATTTTTAGGTTCAGGCTGCACAGCAACTCTTTCCTGGTCCTTTGAGTGTTCAAAATAAGGTTTCAACCCAAGAGAATACAGGGCTTTCAAATACTGGAATGAGGAAACTTGGATCTGCTCTCAACCAGATTAGCCTACTTATGCAAGTTCAAGCCTTATTTTAAAGCGTTAACTGGTGCGCCATTAACATATGCGCTAAGCCATGACGATTTGATGACAACGACAAAAAAAAATTGGCATAAAAATTACTTTTGATATTTATGCTATTTACATATGTAATAAATTAAAAAATAAAAAAAAATTATTTTATATTAGCATCACTTTTGATATTTTAATTTTGTTTGTTTCAAACTTTAAACGACATCTTATTAAAAATTTATTTTTTTTAAATTAAAAAATTCTTTTATGGATATAATTAGGGATGCACCGGAATTCCGGACGGAATTTGTGACTAATAGGTCATTCCAATTTCGACCAAAATTACAATAATTCAGGTCGGAGTGCCGGAATTTATCTTTTACTTTTTTTTCAAGACATGACACAGACTGCAAAGTAAATCCAAAAATCATCATCCTACAGGGAAATGAAGAACTATAGGTAAACCTAAGTAAAAAATATAAAATTGTTACAAAACATACAAAACAAACACAATGTAACTTTAGGTAAAGCTACAGTTAAACGGTCTAAAAATTTTTTATCTTTTGGCTTGTTGCGCAATTGTCCGTTGAGGCTTTTTAAACATTAGGAATTTTAATTGAAATAATAAAAGAAAAAAGATTGCTGCCTTATGCCAAACCCTTAGTCGATGTAGCAGCACTTCCTTTTAGCAGCGGGCTATAAGATAGTCAATATAGCAATACTCCCTTGAAGCAGAAGGCTATAAGATAATTAATGTACATACTAAAGTCAATAAATATTTTTTATGTTGATATTAAAAAGTCACTACTTTAAGCAAGTCTCTACACAAAACCGCAATAAGCGAAAAAATAATATTATTTTAGAGCTAACTGTAGCTTTACGTAATTTTATTTGCAGTAACCAATTATGTAAGGATTTCTAAAATTATAGGAATATTGTGATGCAAAAATAGTTGCTATCCAGTTTTGAGTAACAAACAAGCTCTTTTTTTTTTATCAAAAATGTCTCATTTTTAATGTTTCTATAAATAATTAAAATATAAAGGATGCCTAATACAGTAAATATTTCAATTGTATATATATATATATATATATATATATATATATATATATATATATATATATATATATATATATATATATATATATATTTAAATGTATATTTTATAGGTTATAAATATATATTATGTAGCCACAATGCTGAGGTGTAGACTTTCACTTACAATATTAAAGGTAAAAAATTAAATAAATATAATTCTTGTTCTGGCCGGAACTTTTTTAATAATTCTGATGAATCCGGTTCTGGAATTCAAAATTTCCGATCTGGTACACCCCTAGATATAACTCTAATATTAATATTTTTGCTTGAATTTATGCTTGAAGCAATATAACTCTTGCAATGTTTTCATTTATATTTATAAGTTTTATTTTACAAAAATATTAGTTTAGTAAAATAAAATTTCATGAAAATTACATCAGCTTTATATAATTAACAGATTGTGCGATATCAAAAACAGTAATTGCCTTATAATTTAGAAAGAGTTTTGAATAAAAAAAGTTCTTTAAATAAAAATAAAAAAATTTTTCTCTCAATTTTTTTTCTTTATTTTCTATTTTTTACAAAAAATTAAATTCCTTGTAAACATGTTATAACTCATAACACTGCATTAAAAATATTTCATAAAACTTACATTTAATTTTTTTGCCGTTAGTCAAGTGAAAGCACAACGGTATATATTTTTTATTAAATGCTACATGGAAACTTAAATCTTTGTTTGTCATAAATAAATTTTTTTTTTTTTCTTTACTTGCTGTAAAGAAAAAAAAAAGTTTTTTTTCTTTACAACAAGTAATATTCTTTGTTAATAACTTTTTAAAGGTAAAATTCATTATTTGCAAAATTGCAATTTTAAGAAATAATGAAAAAAATAATTAGGATATTTTAATTCATTTATACAAATGTCTGGAAAAGAAAGCAATTAATTTATGTTAAATGATAATAAAAAATGTAATATTAAATTTTATCATTTGATATTAAAAACAAAAACTAAAATAATGAAACAAAATAGACATTCCAGAATATGTACATTTAGAAAATAACACTTCTAGATTTGTTTTTCTTAATTAGTAAAATAAACTTGTGTTGCTGTAATTTATTCTATTTTGGTAGTTAAAAAAGTTAATGACCTTAAATAAATTTAAAAAATTAAAATAATTTTATAACGTCAAAATCACGACGAGCTAATGAGCTGAGCTGTTTTTAATTTAAAACAAGGCCTACTAGTTGAAACTAACTTTTAGCAAAAACTTGCTGACAGTGGCAAATCATCAAAGGACTACTTCACCATAAGCTCCCTAAAACTTAGATCAAAAAACTCAGAAGATGGTTTATTGCTAAAATCTGCATCAGCTCAAATAAAAAATTGTATCATCACTTTTATCACCACTTCAAAGGATTTTGATGGGATTTTTCATCAGCATTAGGGTCTCAAATTTTCAGGTGTGTTATATAACTGAAAAATTTTTTTCATTTTTTATTTTATATTTAAAAGATATAATTAAGACAGATATATTAAAGTATTTGTATAAGAAGTTTTTAACTTCTATCACTGACACTCATTCTAATACCACCTTTCCTAAAACATATTTCGAAAGTATGGAATTTGAATATCAAAACAAACCAAGTAAATTTTATTTTTAGAATGTTTGTCCTTTAAAGGTCTTTTTTTATTATGTTTATTAAAGTAGTATGAATGTTTTAGAAACACTACTAACAGCTATAACTTGAAAACGCAACCTGGTTTTAAATTTTCATTGGTGGAAGTAATAACTCAGGTGGAGGTAACAACAATATACTACAGTTCTCATATTAAAAATAGTTGTAATAAAATTAATTGATCCTGCAATTGAAGAAAATTTAGCACAATGTAAACCAGAAAAAGCTAGATCTACAGATCCTCCTGAATGAGCTAATGACCCAGTTAAAGGGGAATAATCAGTTCAAGCTTTTTCTGCTCCTTGATCTACTAACGGTGAAGTGAAGAGTAAAATTAATGCAGAAGGAAGTAATCAAAAACCTAAATTATTCAATCTTGAAAAAGCCATGTCTGCTGCTTGTATATATTTTGGAACAAATCAATTTTCATAACCTCCTTTTAAAACTCGTATAATTAAAAAGAATTACAAAGCCTTGAGCTGTTACTATAACATTACATAAATAATCTCAAGTTGACTTTTTTTGAAAGAAAGCAAAGGATGTCAGAATTAGAATGATATTGTTGAGAGTATATTATTTTTAAAGCCTTGTATTGTAGGTTAGATAATCTTAAAAAAAGCATGAGACTTGCTATGTCCCCAAACCTGACAAGCTTCATTGACTATCTAATATGAGATCCGAAAATTGATTGATATATATTGGGTAAAGTTTTATAATTGACATAGTGACAAATATTGGCTAGCATTCCATTAGATTTACACAATTTCAATACATATTCTTTAAGATGAGGCGAAAAAGATAAACTTGACTAAAGTCTATCCTTTTCAATCAAAATCGGCTCAAGTCTTGAGCCGATTTTGATTCCAAGATATTTTTATTAAATTATAAGAAAGATTTTTTGGCCACTTAGTCTAAAGTTTAGATGCTTTTAGATTAATTGGATTTAAAAATGATGAATTCAGTTTTGTCACTATTAAGACTTAATTTGTTAGAGTGCAGCCATTGCAATATACCTAGAAGATACAGTAATTTTTTTTTAAACACTAATAAATTAGCATTAAAACAATTTACTGGATCTTCTAAGGTATTAGTAAAAAATATTACTAAAATAATATGAATGCTAAAACAAAAAAATCCGCAAATATGTTTTATTACAAAATATCAGTGACAAATTTCTATTTCAATGATATTTTGTTATATGATACATATGGATTTTTTTATTAATAAAATTACCAAGGGGATTACTGGATCCAACACTATAAATAAAAACTGTATGAATTAAAATCAAAGATACTTATACGAATGGAATTAAATAATGTAAATTAAATAATTTACCTAGAGTAGCATTATCAAAACTAAAACCACCTCTATTCATTGAAATATGTTATCTCTAATGTATGTAATTGAAAATAAAAAATTTGTTATAACAGTACCATTTAAATAAAAGAATTTTTACATCACAAATCTGTAATAATTAGAATCTAATTATTACAAATGTGTGATGTAAAAATACATGTCTTTTAATATGTTTAATACCAAAAATGGCGTGTCACTATTTATCTAACTAATCATAACAGCAAGGTAATATATAATCATAGTCATAAAATACAATCATAAAATCTGTTATTATGACTATGATATAATCATAGTCATAAAATACAATTTTAAAAAAAAATAAATTGCAATTAATAGCGCCATTGAATAGACACTACACCGGAAGCATACTTTAAAACCCTATGGATAGATAGATAGATAACAGGCAGATTTGCGCAACCTGATTCGCTGATTTTGAAAAAAAGGCTTACGCGCGTAAGTTGAAGTTTGAATTAAAAAATTAAAAACCTGTGAAAAAAAGCGCATTTCAAAATCAAATAAGAATAACAAAAAAATAAGGATTTTATAACGATTTTTGTAAACAAAAGTACATATTCTTTTATAAAACTTTACAACTTAGAACAACTGTAATTTTTGGAGTACAAAATACTATTTTCGAGCCCGTACCGTAAAAATATCTAGAAAGGCGGGGGAAGGGGGAGGGGTAGAAGGTTTTTTTTTTAAGAAAAAATGCAGTTTAGAATAGAACAACAAACATAACAACAACATATTCGAATAAACTTCTATCAATAATCATTGGTTTAAGGCTAGCCTCCGTACATTTTGGGTTTCTTTTGTTAATGTGCGGGTGACGGGCATTTTTATCGTCATATCTCCAGGGAGAATTTCAAAACGCTAATCTAGAATATAACGATGACTTATAATGAACTTGAATTCATAGCATTAAAATGCTGTGAATTTAAGAAAAAGATTCAAAACACTTTCCTCCCTCCCTTCCCCCTTCCCCTTTGCCAAACCTGAGGCCACTGTTGTAATAAAACTTTCAACTTTACTATCTTAAACTAAATTTAAATTTATCGACAGATTTTTAATTTCGTAGAAAAATATTGTAAATGACAAAAGTTGTGACCATGCAAATTTTCCGACCCCCCGACCCCCAAATGAGGGAGGGGGTCGGAATGGTTATATTTTATTTCATGTTTATATTTTAAATTAGCGTTTTAAATTCTCCCATGAGATTCACAATATAAATATTAAAATATAAATATTATGAATTCGTGTTAGGATTAAGGTAAGCATATAGTACAATGAATTCATAACGTAATTTATTTTTTACTTTATCGGTAAAAATTGAGTAATCGATATTATGTTATTTGTTTATACTAACCAATGTTATATCAAGGAGTTTTAAAGTCGATTATACCTCCTTGGTTAAATTAATGTTTTTACAACCTTAGTACAATATTCTATTGTTTTTTCAGGTGAAACAATTTATGTAAGGTGAAATAATTTATTTAAAAAAGGAATAAATAAAAAAAACTCTACCTCCAAGTGTCTATTTAAAGTTTGAATTTGTTATGGTGTCCATTAGATTTAATTGATTAAATCATTTGTTACACCAGTTTAGTATCTTAATTGCTACTTTTCTAATGTTTTAATATTCATATCAAACAGAGATTGCTCTTAAGTATTCTTATCAACTTTGGAACAATAGTCCAACGATTCCAATATTGTTTTTTTGTTGCCTAATGGAGTATTCTTCCTGGTTAGATAATTTCATAACCAAAAGGGCTGTTCAGTTCACCTTTTTAAGCGAAAAATAGTTCACCTTCTTAAGTGAAAGTCTTATTTGTTTTCAAAATCAATTATTTTTTTGTTTATTAAAATTGATTGTGATTGCCTTTCCAATTCATTTTTATAATTATATTATACTATTATTATTTTTATATTATATTTATATAAATTTCTACAAATCCCAGTGTAGAACTGTTTAGCTGCCTTTATGATGTAAAATTATCAGAACTACTTGTTAGTTCAACTAATAATGGAGAACTAGTTGTAATTGTCGACAATTAATAAATTTTTGAAAAAAATAATTTACTGGAAAAGGTCTCTCACAATGTTTTATTGAATCTTTATTTTTCACTTGCAGAAGATTTGGTTGAAACAGTTATGTATATGTTTATATATAAGGGTCCTGCGAATCAGTATTTTTTTTTTCGAATCGAATATCGAATCAAAGGTTGTCTTGATTCGCAATTCGAATCAGGAATCGAATCAAGCATTTTTTTTTATAATATATAATTTAAAAATAAAATTCATTAGAGACTAAGTCTTCACATTTCGTTTATTTTTTTATTTTCATACTTCATCTGTCAATTTTCTTGGAATAGCTTGAACTTATTTAGAGACACTCAAAAACAAGACAATTGCATTGTATTCCCCTAAAATAACTTAAAATTTAAAGTAAAAAAAAAACAAGACATCGTTACTTGATAGAATAAAAAAGAACTTTTTTTATCCTATCAAGGATAAAAAAAAGCATTTTTTGCGCCCAAATCATAGTTTCAGCATTATTATTAGATAGAGAATGACTTAAATAGCTTATTACATTTCAACCAGTTGAGTTGACTCGTTCAAAAGAACAACATGTTGCTTGTACAGCTAATACAGATCGAGCTGCGTGCGAAAGAACAGGGAAAATATTTTCATTTTTTTTCCAGTTTTCAAATGCGCAATTTTATCACTATTTATGGTTTGCAAACAACTGTAAAATCCAATTTCCGTATCAACGCAATTTTTAATGAGTCTTTTTGCAGAATTTAGTTGTAAAAGTTTATATTTTTCAGATTCTTTTTCCTTAACTTGTTTAAATACATCAAGTAAATTTTTAGATAAGTTTTCAACTTTTTCTTCATTGATAGAATTTACGCAAGAAGTAGTTTCGCATGGTTTAAAATCAACGGGAATTACAATTAGATGTTTTTTCACAATTGAAATCTCGTTTTCAGTGTGAATTACGGCTTTAAATCTAGAGTCTAAACATGTTAAGGTAAGAAGCGTAACATTTTCTAAATTAAAGCGTGCAAATAGTTGTGAAAGTAACTCCTTTTTAAAGCTACAATTTAATGAATCTAATTGACCTTTTTAAGTATAAATGCAAGGTTTAACTAAACTGTTAGCCACAGTAGTACCAGAACTAAGTAGCGTTGTTGTGTTCAAAATCAGTTTTAAATATGGAATACACTTTTTTTAAATCTTTTATTTTTAATTCTTTTATCGTCACCGATTAAACTTGAGGAGGAGTTTTGGCGCATCTAGTGCATTCCGTAAGAGCCATTGTTATTGCAGTACAATTTAAAACTTGACCAATTCAGAAGTTTAAGTGTACTGTTAAACCTAGTAACAATATCAAGTGGTGGACTTCATTCTGGAAGTCTTTTTTCAAGTTGATATTTCTTTAAACATTTTAGACCTACAGAAGAACTGTTGAAAAATCTGCAATTTTGTGTATCAAACTAATAAGGTTTTTAATTTCTTGTTGGACATTTAAAGGACTCTTAATGCATAGTTGAAGAACACGTGCGGCACATGGGTGCATTTAACTCCTAAAAGACTAGCTGAGGCAAACATTGCGTTTGTCGTGTCTGTGCTTGCACATAAAACGTTGTCAATTTCAACATTTCAACTTTGCAGTTGATTTTTTCTTTTGTTTTTTGAGAAGTATGATCTGCATCAACATCTTCAAGATTTACCACAGATAAACAACGCGCTTTTAGCTTCCATTCTGTTAGAGATATATAACTGTTAAAAATAAATAGTTGCTACTATTTGCAGCTTTCCAATTATCAAAGGTAATGAAACATTTATAGCCTGACATTTCTGCAAGTACTACTGTTTCAAATTTACTTTCTAACATTGTTTTTATGTCATTAATGTGAAATTTAAGTTGAATTAAGCTGAAATTAAGCTGAAAATCTGATTAAGTTGAAAATCTGATTAAGTCATTAAGCTGAAAATCTGATTGAGCCATTAATGTGAAAGCGTAGATGGATGGGGAGGTGTTTTTCAAGGTGTATAATTTTTATTAGTAAGAGTCAAACACAATTTTATAAAACTCTTACCAGCCAAAGTCTCAAAAGGACGTCCATCTGCAACGATAAATTCCAATACAGCTTGGTCACATATTTTCTTGTGTTCAATCGAGGCTTGTTAAGAAAATCTGACATAACGCTTTTTTTCAATTTTTTCAAACAACTACTTTCCAAAATATCTGGTTTTGACAATTTACGTTTTTTTTTTGCTCTGCTTCAGCTTGAGTATGAAGTGTTTTGTGTTTTCTTTTCAAGTGACCCAAGAGATGTGATGTTGTGCCAGTGTTTTGTACAAGTAAAGTGATTTTGCACGTTTTACATTAATAAAACAAAAATAAAATTTTAATTCAAAGCAAGTTTTACATTAAACTGATCTTTTAATTCAAAATACGACTTAATAAATCCTACCATTGTATAAATTGAATATAGTAATTTGAAAAAGTTAGTAAAGTGAAAAGAGTATAGGGCCAACGACACCGGGGGGCCAGTGCCCCATTACTTCTTTCCTAAAGGACCTTTTTTTGAATTTTTTTTTTTAAGAAAATTCTAAATATAGAAGACTTTATTTAAGAATTGACAATTTTGCCCCCCCCAACCCCCACTTCGAAACCCCCTTGTCGTCGGAGAACCAATTACTACACCATAGCGGAGAAACAATTACTACACCATCAATTTAATCATAATTTTGTCCTTTAAAAAGAAAATGTGTTTTAAGTGGCGAATCTGAATAGTTTTTTTAAATCATTTTCAGTAATTTTAATGTTTTTATTTGCGAGCAAATAATCCACCACCAAAAATCAAAGGATCCTTGTCTTATTTTAATCTACGGTTTTAGGAAAAATAAAAAAAATTCAATTGCTAGAAGATATTGCTGTTCTGCAAATGTTAAATTAGTATTTAAGTCATAAAAATTTCAAAATTCTTTTCTTTTAAAGACCCTAATCCTCTAGAGTTCAAATCGTTCGTGATCTATAAATTCGTATGTGCATTCGTATGTAACTCTTGTTATATAGACGAAACTACTTGTCATCTCAAGACGCGGATATCTAAACATTA